TCCATGAAGCGATAGGAAAAGATTTATTTAAGTTACGGTAGTTGCTGAAAGTTTTTTCAAAGTAATTATGTTTTGAGATAATTTTTGTAAAGAGATTTCTGCACCAAGAGTATATAAATAGCAACATGACTTAAATTATTTTTGCTCAATTATGCTAATAGTCAAGTGTTTTTCTATCTCCAAGTATTAATTACAGCTGGCATTTCTAAGCTGCCTATTGATGGCAAGTGCTGTGCAGAAATATTACCATTTCTATTACTAGTCATATAGGAGAAAACAAACTGCAGTTTCTAACCTGTCTCACTTAAGTTTAACCTGCAAGACATGAACTATATTGTTTTTCAAGTAGGCTTTCACATTTCGTTTCTGACAATGACAGTATTACCACACTTCGCAACTGTCCTGGGTTCAGCTGTATCAGTCATTTTTCTTCTAGTAGCTGATGCAGTGCTGTGTTTTGGCTTTAGACTAAGAACAATGCTGGTAACACACCCATGGTTTAGTTGTTGCTGAGCAGTGCTCACTCAGATCAAGGACTTTTCAGCTCTGCCAGTGAGGAGGGGCACAAGAAGCCGGGAGAGAGCAGAGACAGGACACCTGACCCAAACTAAACAAAGGGGTATTCCATACCACAGCACACCATGCCCAGTATATAAACTGGGGGGAGACACCCAGTAGGGCAGATTGCTGCTCAGCTCAAGCTGGGTACTGGTCAGCAGGTGGTGAGCAGTTGAGTTGTGCATCACTTGGAGTTTTTTTTTTCTTTGAGTTTTATCTCTCTCTCTTGTTATTTCTCTTTTCATTAGTATCAGTACTATATTGTACTTATTTTAATTATTAAATTGTTTTTATCTCACCACACAGGTTTTTACCCTTTTTCCGGTTCTCCTCCCCACCTCACTGGGGAGGTGTGTTTGTGAGCAAGCGGCTGCATGGCACTTAGTTGCCAGCTGGGCTTAAACCATGACAATAAGTCAAAGAGGAAACTTTTTTCCTTCTCATACAGCAAGCTAAAATTAAAAATGTACCTTTTCAGTAAGATGGACACTTCCTACAGATGGCTCAGAAAAGTCAATTAAGACATTTTAAGAACCATGCTCCACATCGTCCTTAAAAAGTTTAATTCTTCACTTAAGGAAAAACACATAAGCCAAAACTGTCAGCATTAGTAAACAAACAAACAAACCCAACCAACAAAACAAACAAAATCCTCAAAGATGTTCATATTCTTTACATCACTCTGAACTCAGACTATATTAATAACACAATAGTGCAATAAAACTGAAATAAGTGACCTTTTTTTAATTGACAGTGTCTCTTATGCCCACTAAAACCAGACAGACATTTCAGTGAATACATACTGAAATACTGCACATGGTTTTCCTGGTTTTGTCAGAGAGTAGAACAACTTTGGACTTCACCTCTGATCTTGCTCCTGGAGAAGACCTTGATTTTCTAAAGTGAAACTCAGTCATAACCAGGTCATTGAATAAGAAGATCTAGCATATATACACACTAATGTATAAATTAAATAATTCAATACTAATCTAATAATCAGAAAGCCTAAGTGATTTCCTATGTTCAAATTTCAAAGCCTCACTAGGAAGCAGAGACTGTCTTTTCAGGCTATTCTGAGTCTTAAGAGTTGAGAAGCCGTCACCAGAATTTGCCAACCAGTGACACCTGATAGCTCCAATTATGCACACAGTGGATACAAAATCAGCACTAGTACACCAGATATGTACATCTTGGCATACTACCACATAACTATTTCTAACTTAGAGACTAACCGTTAACTAAGAGCCTACCTATTAACTAACCTGGAGCCCTTCACAAAGTGATGCAGCTGTTTTAGCTGAGTACTGCTCACTCAGTACTGCTTACCAGCTGCTCACTCCCCAGGCAACTCACCTGTTATCCCCTGACTCCGGCATGAGGCTTCTTTGGGAGAAGAAACACCCCTCTCCTCAACACTCATTTATCATTTTTGAGGAAAACAAGAGATTACTTAGATAATCCTTTAGCTTTCCTGTATCTGTCCCCACCTTCACATGTGGAAAGAAAGTTTTATTCCACTGGTGCATATGGTGTGTGTGGGTGGAAAGAGAAGTAGTGGGGGTGAAACAGAACCCACGGGATAAAATCTGGATGTTAAAGGGCACAGCTGCTGCATTATGGAACAGCAACAGAGATGTAACGGGCTGCAAAGAGGGTCACATATGCAGTGACACACACACACCTGCTTTTATAGAACAGTGTAAATAAATGCATGAGGGCAAGGACAAAGCACAGGCAGGGAGTGAACTCGATAAAACCTACACAACTCACACCCGATGCCCCAGGCAGGGCCGGGACAGGAAGCAGCGAGGCTCCGGAGCTCCGGAGAGGCTACCACTGCCAGGCCCCGGGAGAAAGGGGTAGCCCGACGCTCCCCCCCCGCCGTCCCGATCTCTGCCCGAGCTCCGTGTGTCGCCGGCCCGGGACGCTACCTGCGGGCAGCAGGACGAGCAACAGCAGCAGCAGAAGGACGCGGCGGGCCGGGAGGCGGCCGGCGGTAGCGGCGGTCTGCCGGCTGCAGCTCCGCACCCTTCCCCGCTCCGCACACCACATCGCCAGAGCCCACAGCGCCTCCTCAGGCGGCGCGGCAGCCGTTACCCCTCGCAACGGCGCCGGGGTCGACGCGGCAGGTGCCAGCCGCGAGAGGGGAGGTGGCGGCCCTGCTGCGTCTGGCCTGTCCTCCCAGGAGGAGGCTTCCCCCCCTGCAGTGCCAGGCTCCGGGCCGGCATCTCTGGCGAAAGACAGGAGGAGGGAGTAGGCTTTCACATCCGCAAACCCTTAATCGTCCGGCCGCCGGGTTATACGTCATTAACCCCAATTTATCAAGGCACCCGCTCTACAGGGGCAGCTCCTGGTGGAACAGCCGGGCGTATGGAAGTGCGGCCTGCACCTGTGGCCGGCCCGAGGTGTGGGGAGCCGGCCTCACGGTCAGTGCGTTGTTCCCAAAACCAGAGGAAGTTCTCATAGCAAAAGCAAAGGACTGGGCTGATCCAGTAAAAAAAGCGAGCACTGACAGTTGTGCTGCTACATAAAAAGGCAGTTAAGAAAGTGTTGGTATACCAGGATATCTGCATGTTTTCATGGCATCGGATTAATTTGCTTTTGATAGAGAAAAGATATTTTGAAAGAATGGGTGGGAGAGGGGATGAGTTGTCTGGGAAGTGGATGAAGTCTGGCAGGAAAAAATCACAGTGTGGAAGATTTGGTATGATGTTACTGTGCCAGAGAACCGAAAACACTGTTCTGCAGGAATCCTGAAGCAAAGTAAAAGGTGGACATCTAGTAGAGGACTAGCTTAGACGCATAACTAGCTCATCCATGTGCTTCTTTAAAACACTTGAAAATTGACAGTGCAGCCTTACATGTCAGATTTACTTCCCAGGATGACCTGAACAGAATCCCTGACAACAAAATCCAAAATAAAGCTTTAATTGTATTTCACTCTGCAAAATTAATGCAAAAAACCATGAGCCATCCTTGCAATGTCTTCCATCCTGTGCCTTACCTCAGTCCTGTGTCTTCACCTCTCCTGCTATCTCTGTCTAACACTTTCCAGAAGGTAGGCAGTGGGGGAAAAGGTCAGTTGCAGCACTGAGTGTTATTCTGGTGTGAAGCTGATTGTATTTGGTACAGGGAAAGCTGAGAGTCAGTAAATACAGACACCAGTATGGCATTTCAAAGTCTTGTTACTGGCAGAAGTAAAATTTTGGAAGTATCTTTTCACTAACTTCTGTGTGTGAGTGCGGTTTGAAGTGGACAAGAGATGTGTCAGGCAAAGTGTTCTGTTTTCATACTGTTGGCTTAGCCTTATAGTACTAGTACTGCATATACAATGTTCTCAGATGTCACTTCTTACCCATGTTAGTTCTTGTGACCTATATAAGAAACATGTCTTAATAAAGAAGGAAGTTGGGTTTCTTTTCCTGCTCCATCAGCAAACTTCTCCAAAAAACCCACACCGTGGTTCTACATTACAGAACACAGCTTTTTATTACTATAAACCTGTATTGTAATAAGTGTTAGGCCCATATCTGATTTCCTGTTAATCTAGAGCAAGTTAGGAATTCAGGAAAGTTGCATCTGTGTGAGACTAACATAAAAGAGAGAATGATCAGGCTCTGTGCCCTATTTTTTTCTGACAAGGCCACAAAACAAAGTGAATTGAAATGTCCAAATAAAAGTAGTTTGATTTTTCTGAAGTGCCAGGCCTTTGGAGATGGCACTGAAATTATGCAGAGAGGGCCTCTCTAAATCAGACTGCTTTTGTTTACATTGCTAAATGAATACCATCGAGTTTGGGATTAGGAGATGAGTGCTGCATATTCTGAACTGAGGTGGATTTGGCAATGGATTTGCCAACATGATAGAACAAATGGCAAAACTCTGGAGGTAATTAAGCTGCATGGAAAACTCTGATGTAAGTATGATTTACTTATTCCAAATAATAATTGTAAATTTTCCAGATTTGCATTTGTTTGCAGTTGTATTTGTTAAATTTTGTTCCTGTTAAATCTGTGTTTCAATTTAATTCATGTTTGTGGTCTAGTTACCAACAAAACAGCTTATTTCAAAATACTTAAATAAAAACACCATATAATTCTTAGTAAGACCGAAAACGTCTTCATTTTCTCTCTACTAGATGAATACGTAATTTGTAGTGCCATTTCGAGTTGCTATGTGTGTCCCCTTGAAGGACTAGATTACTGTGGTATGCATGAACCATGTTTCACACGAAGAGATATTTCACTGTGAGGTGGTTTCCATTGTTGCCAAGAATAAAAGTAACCCAAACCTCTCTGCTCATTCAATGGCTCTGGTCTTCTGTACCATATTTGATAAATCTCTGTTCAGGAGAGAATTCACTATTTAAACCACTATTTAAACGTGAAGAAACAGGAGCAAGCAGACTTTAAGTTTACTGCCACAAAGGACAATAGAAGAGAATGACAATGGCTTCCCTTGGAGCTGAAAGGAAGGCATGTAAGTGTTTTTAAAAAGTCCACCTTGTCAGTTGAACCAGCTCACAAGATGGGCCATCAACAGTATCTTAGCCTCTTAGAGCTGTGCTTGCCTGTTGTGAAAGGTCCCGAGAACAGACATGGCTTTGCCAGCTTTGAAGAGAAAAACATCAATTCTTTCCTAAAGTTCAATCCATTCATCCCTCCAATAGGGATGATGTGTCTTTAGTAGATCTCTGCCCAGATTAAGCCAACTCCAGTGATTTTCATAGCTCATTCCAGCTAGAACAAAATTTTACGAGAATTCAGGCAACATACTTAGAGATGAGGGAAGCCATTTCTGAGAACATGGTAAAGAAACGTAAATAAGCTCCTTGTTCCATTTTACTATACAGCTAACTCTCACTTCACGGTTATGTATACTTTGGCCTCATTATTGTCAGCACAAAGTGTCTACATGCCATAAATTCAGGCAGTGGTTTTGGTTGCTTCTTTCTGCCTTTGAACTTTGCATTTTAAATCACTTTAAGCTTACTGCGTCATATAACAGAAGCCAGAAGAGCCCAAGTGACCACAAGGGATAAAAAATTTTACTTTATAAATTTCCTTTTTCCCCCCCTTCTTGCTCATCCTATATTATTTTCACTCTTATTTCTCAGTTGCTGTGTTCTCCACATACATATGAAATTAGATTCAAGCAGAACTGATCAGCTGGGGTTTTTCTGCAAGCCCCTGGAAAAGTGGAAAGGAAAGAAGAGTCGCGATATGCAGTTCTATCTGACCACTAATTTTTTCAATGTAGAGAAAAGCAGACAGAGATAGAGATATTATGGCAGAGATACACATGAAAAGAACACAGACAATATCTGAAATAGAATGTCATCAAGTCAGTGGTCTGAAATGGAGAGTAGTTCCACAAACTAGACAGAAACTGTCCAGCAGCTTTCTGGTGATATTTTATTGGGTAAAGTTTGCTGTTAAAGTGAAATACTGACTCCGCTGAAGCTGTCAGATAAAGTCAAACTTAACTCAGGGGCAAACCTTGAAACATAGTCCAGCATAAATTTATTAAAGAAAGCTGTGTAAATATTCTTCCAAACCTAGTATTCATTTACAAGTTTTCCCGTGATGCTGGGGTATTAACTGCAAATGTGTAAATAGACAGATAAAAAGTAGTTGAGTTTTAAGCTACATGTTTAATGAGACAGCATAAACAAATGCCATATTCCAGCTGTATGATTCAGAGCCCAACTACCAAACCCCTCAGGCATGTGATGTGATGAAAGTTGCTAATCTTTCTAGATATCAGTCCCAAGACATTCCACAGCTAAGTTGTTTGGGGAAGTTATGCTGAAAGTGAGATCAGTCAGTCATTTTGCAAGCAAATTCTACAGTCACTTTCTCCACTGTGTTGTGGAGGAATGGAAAATATAACAAAAAGAAAAGCAGAGACAGAAGCAGCCTTTGACATGGATGAGCAGTGGTATTACAAACTTCTGCAGCAGACAGGAGGTTCTCTGTTGTGACAAGATGTAGTGCTATAGCTTAGGCAGTCAACAGTGTTAATTTGAAATTCCCCATCAGTCTTTTGCATCTACTGAGTGGAGCAAGTTTATTGAACAGTGAGAATCTGTGATAACAAACCAGAGAAGCTGAAAAAGAAGGCTGTTCTAAGACTGGAGAATCAGAGCCTGCCAGGGAAGGGAAACAGCTGAAGTGCTATTCTTCGTGTATTCTTGCTTGGTGTAGTGAAGGTGCTTAGTGCTAGAAAACAAGGCCTTTAGGAAGTTGGCAGTGTTTGCCTGTAGAATTCTCTCAGAATTTGACTGTGCAGGTACATTTGTACCTGGAAACCTGGTGACAAGGCCCTCATATCCCGTTTGTAGTTATTATTCTATTCTGTATGGCTTAAGACAGAGATGGACATGGGGACTGCAGAAGGAACCAGCGTATTTGATAAGTCTGATGAGGAGCAGAGGTGACTTCTTGCCCCTGCTGGAAGCTAACACATCTGTAGGCACAGTTTTCTCTGAAAACTGAGAAATGTGAAACACTATAGAGTTTACCTCTGGACTTGATAGTAACCCTTTTCTAAAAGAAATAAGCAGTTAACTCATGCTGCTAGTAGAGTGGCCATATTTGGAAAATAAAAAAGCCCAATTATTCCAGTGTTCCATCCAAGAATATATGAATAATTCACATCCAACACTGTGAATAATTAACATAAAATGTCATCATACTTCCCCTGCATATTTTCATATCATGTGATGATTTGTTGACCAGGGATTAATGAAAAGGAGCTGGTGTGTTTGTATTTAGTAGTCATGGATTCACAGATTTGTCTTCATGAACATATCAATTTGATTTTTGAACCCATTAGTCAACTTTCAACACCCTATTTCCAGGTAATTTGTGAATATGTTAAGCAACAGAGTTCCAAGCCCAGATGGGTTACCTCCAGGTCTCTCTACCAGTGATCTCCATCTACCTGGAGAATTGATCATTTACCCTTTTCCCTCCTTCTCTGAACTTCTGATCAATTATTTATCCATGTGAAGATATTATCTTTATTCCATTGTTACTTTAAGAAGCTCTGTTGAAGAATTTTATGCAGAACTAGTTGAAATAATTATGGTTGCATTATACTAATCATCCAATGGCCTTTGTACAGGAAAAGTTCCTTTCTCAGTGCTTCCTGTATTGAAGCAAGAAGTATTTTATCCAGAGTAATCATTACTTTGGTCATCCAGGAGTAGTCCAGGATTAAGTAGCACATTGAGTGTGAGGCATATCAAGGTAAGACTTGACAACTGGAAAAAGGGAAATATAGCCCCCATTTTCAAGAAGGGGAAAATGGATGACCCAGGGAATTACAGACCAGTCAGTCTCACCTCTGTGCCTGGCAAAATCTTGGAGCAGATTCTCCTGGAAGGCATGCTAAGGCACATGAAAAACAACAAGGTGCTTGGTGACAGCCAGCATGGCTTCACTAAGGGGAAACCCTGCCTGACCGATTTGGTGGCCTTTTATGATGGGGCTATGGAACTGATGGACAGGGGTAGAGCAGTTGACGTCATCTACCTGGACTTGTGCAAAGCATTCGACACTGTCCCACAAGACATCCTTGTTTCTAAATTGGAGAGACATCAATTTGATGGATGGACCACTCAGTGGATAAAGAGCTATCTGGATGGCTGCATGCAAAGAGCTGTGGTCAATGGCTCAATGTCCAGCTGGAGACCAGAAACGAGTGGTGTCCCTCAGGGATCGGTGTTGGGACTGGTCTTGTTCAACATCTTTGTCGCTGACATGGACAGTGGGATTGAGTGCACCCTCAGCAAGTTTGCCGGTGACACCAAGCTGTGTGGTTCGGTTGGTACGCTGGAGGGAAGGAATGCCATCCAGAGGGACCTTGACACACTTGTGAGTTGGGCTGATGCCAACCTCATGAAGTTTAACCATGCCAAGTGCAAGGTCCTACACCTGGGTCGGACCAATCCCAGGCACAGCTACAGGTTGGGCAGAGAAGAGATTCAGAGCAGCCCTGAGGAGAAGGACTTAGGGGTGCTGGTCAGTGAAAAAATAAACACGAGCTGGCAGTGTGCGCTTGCAGCCCAGAAAGCCAACCGTGCCCTGGGCTGCATCAAAAGGAGTGTGACCAGCAGGTCGAAGGAGGTGATCCTGCCCCTTTATTCTGCTCTCATGAGACCTCACCTGGAGTATTGTGTGCAGTTCCGGTGTCCTCAACATAAAAAGGACATGAAACTGTTGGAACAAGTCCAGAGGAGGGCCACAAGAATGATCAGGGGACTGGAGCATCTCCCATATGAAGACAGGCTGAGAAAGTTGGGGCTGTTCAACCTGGAGAAGAGAAGGCTGCGTGAAGACCTCCTAGCAGCCTTACAGTATCTGAAGGGGGCCTATAGGGCTGCCGGGGAGGGACTCTTCATTAGGGACTGTAGTGACAGGACAAAGTGTTAGTGGGCTCAAACGTAAACAGGGGAAATTTAGATTGGATATAAGGAGGAAATTCTTTCCTGTGAGGGTGATGAGGCACTGAAATGGTTTGCCCAGGGAGGTTGTGAATGCTCCATCCCTGGCGGTGTTCAAGGCCAGTTTGGACAAAGCCTTGGGTGATATGGTTTAGAGCTGGGTGTCCCTGCCCATGTCAGGGGGGTTGGAACTCGATGATCTTAAGGTCCTTTCCAACCCTAACTATTCTATGATTCTATTCCAGCTTCTCCTACCTTTTAAATAATGCTAGAAAATGACTGCATGCAATGCTGGTGCGGCCCCAGTGTGTAACACAGATACTTAGTGAGATAAAACCTTTTGCTTACCTGCAGAAGAAGATAAAAGTACGTCACAGGCAAAAACATGCAAAGCAAAGAGCAAAAAATGTGCAACTTGAAAAACATCAAATTAACAATTCAAGGACACTCATAACTATTATAGCATAGGAATAATCAACTAACAATGAAAAATTGCCTACAGTAGGCTTGAGAATGTCTGTGCTATTAAATAATTGCCCAGAACACAATTAATTGTGTAATGCTATGCTGCCTAATAAGCTAATAGGTCATCTGGAAATAATGCAGAAAAACTCCGAATAATCTGTGGAGTGCTGAATGCCATTGAATAAAGCAACTTTGGTTTCACTCTGGATTTGATTATTTATCATCCCTGCAGTTATATATTTCACTGTGCATTTGTTTTTTCACTTGCCCAAAAGCAGAATGACACTTTGTTTTTTCAAAGGCTTTCTTCTTTTTGTTTTGCTTCTTTTGTTGTGCATGTCTTACATATCTTTCCAATATAAACTGATGAGGTTTATGCTTATTTATAGTTAGTTTTCAGGGGATGATTTGTAGCCTTTTCTTTCAATGTGATAAAAGAGAATGTAATGTGTTATATTTATTTTCCATATATAAAGAAAAGTAGATTAGTTAACCAAAGAACTAACCAAAAAATTCTGTGACAGTTATCTGTAAACCTTTCATTTGGCATTATTTTCTCTTGCTGACCCCACTGAAATCAATACTCCTGCTAATTTTAAAATATAAGAGGTCAAAAACAGTGCACAGTTTTTGAATGACAGTGAGATGCAGTGAAGCTTCTGAGGACTGCTGAGGAATCAGGTGATTCTTCTACAAGATGGAGAACAAAAAAAACAAGGGACTATTTCTACAAATAAAATACTAAAAGTGAGTTTCTTTTAAAAACAGGTTTTGCTTGCACTTTGCTTCATTTTTTTCATCTTTTTGCTAATATGCACCTTTAAGCAGCAGGACATACAAGACTACAAACAATTTTTATATCACTCAGAACTTGTGGTATTTTATCAGCATTTAGCATAGGATTCATCTCATGAATATTAGTTACCTTGTGTCCAGTCTGTGCCTTTCATCTGCACTTTATCTATAGGCAAGGAAGAGAAACTGGGGTTTCCAAAAGGGCATTCTGTACATCTGTCTTCAACGCCTGACACAGGCATGATATGACTAGTGTTTAATCTCTATTTATGTCTTGTCTCACTTAACTGATTATTCAAATTTAGACAAAATGAGTCCCATCATCCTTGTAAGCTTATTGGCAGATAAGCTACCTCTTTCAGTTAGTGAGACAGTTTTAAAGAAGATAAGCCTATGAAACTGTACCATAACTACTTGTTCCCCAACAAGCAACATATAATTCTGGGCTTTTAATTTCCCCTTAAACTGAAAATGCACACCTTTGTTACTTTTTTACATCCTTCTTTGTCACATAATTCATTATTATCTAGCTACCAGTGTCATTCAATAATGATTATATGGGATCTTTTCTATCTTCTTTTTTATTGTTCATCTAGATTTTATGAAGAAGTTCCTCGGGATAATATGATACCTCGCAAAATCCCGCCTCCAGAATCAAAGTGGAAGTGTTGGCTGATCCTCTTTCCCAGAACAGAGATACAATCCCTGAAACCAAAACCAGACAAGTCAGTGAACAATGTCTTGCCAACTGGTTTTGGGTTTTGCTAATGAAATTTAGCCTAAATTTTGCGTATATCAGACACAGCAATGTTTTCAAAGAAAAGCAGTCCCAAGTGAGCAATTAAGGCCATAGCACACTCCAGCAATTGCCTCAAATGATTTAATATTTTTTACCTCTTCCTCCCCTGTAAATTGGTACAGAAAGTGTGCGTGCACAGTACCAAAAGAGAGGACAAGGACGTTGGTGAAAAACTGGCTGACAGGAATGATGCTGTACCATAGCAAATCTCACATTAAGTTAGTTTGCTTGTGATTATTAACTGCGATGATCATTATTTTTACTAAACTCAAACTCAGTCCTGCAATTGGTTCTGATTGCTGCATGAAAATCTATTAAGCCAAATTAATTAAGCAAAGTTGCCTTACAAGAAGCATGTAATTATGATTTTAAGTGGCTTCTGGGACAGACTTCAAACAAGATCTTTTGCCTCTCCACAGAGACCTGTTGATTCCTAATTTTCATTTTTTTTTGGGGAATATCAGGGTCCTCTGAACACTTCTGATTAAGTCTGTGTAGAGTTAATTATTTCAATAGACTAAATTCAGCAATATTCTATAACTGGAGAAGTTAAGATATTCAATCAATAATTATTTGAAAAGTACACTCTAGCATGTTTCCCCTGTAAGGGAGTTAGGTATAAAAAGTAGAACAGAGAAATTTGTGAAGTGAGTGTAGAGATTCCATGCATCTGATGTTTTTATTAAGACATGTCATTTATGAAAATACTGTGATAATCAAACACATGTACAAATTCAAGGTTTTATCTGCTGCCTGTAGAATATAAAGTAATCACCTGTGCATTGGTGTCTTTTCTTCACTCTGTATTTCACTTATTGTATCTCAGAGTGGAACATTTTAGATGAGCCCAGGAAAGGGTGACAGGAGTTTCAGAAGGGCTCGGGTAAGAGCCAAGTAGAGATGGGGAAAGAAAGGTTGGTCAAAGAAAGATAGGAAAAGTAGAGCCTCCTTTCCAGGCCATGAGCCATCAGGTTTGCACAGGCAAACTCAATGGACAGGTGTGCTATGAGGCACAATCAGGCATACAATGGGAGAGCCAGGTATCTCTGTAGGGTAGAAGGGGGATAAAAACCTCTATCATTATTGTTTCTTGAATGTTGCTCTTTCCAAGAAATACAGATGTGGATAGTGAGAGCAGCTTACAGGGACAGACCAAGAGAAAGTTAGACCTGATGTTAAGTTTTCCTATATTCTCAAGAAATGAATGAAAGAAGTTTTACAAGTAGAGAAGCAGTTATTTTTCAAAAACTTGCTTATATTATACTAGCCTAGGAAATTGAATGAAGTCCCAGTATCTGAGGATGGAGAGTAAAAGACAAGATTCTGCCTGCTGAACTGGGTCATTTAGCATATATGCCAATCTAATAATTTACCATGGTCTTTTACTCAATTCAAATGAGCATTGCATCATTCCATGAGCAAAACTTTGACTTGTCACCACCTCTCTTTTGAGACCTCATAAATATTCTATCAGAATAGTCTGTCTGGTGAAAAAATGGGTAATTGATCTATTTTGTCTTTAACAGTGTAAGCTAAAGGCCTTGAATCTGTCATATCCCTTTGTATATGTAAGCACAATGTCCCTGGGTCATTTCTACATTTTTGATTAAGCCCAAGCAATCCACCTCTCATTTTCTGAAGCAAAAGTTGTAGCTGGACTATGTCATCTAATCTTAAAATGTTTTCTGGTACCAAGGGAGAGTGTGTGCTGAGTCTCCTCTGCCTGCCGGTGACTCCAGCCTGCTACCTGTAAACTAGAAATTAATATCCATTATGTCCTTTTTGGAAGAATATCCCAGTCTGATTATGGGCATAGCCAAAATAGCAAGAGATTACATCTTATTTCTATCCTTCCCAAGCCGCTTCTATGCACATATGCTCTAGAGCTGTCATTTGTTATGTGCTGCAAGTTGAGCACATAATTGTCTTCATCCTGGGACCTGCCAAGCACACAGGACAGTTCATCTCCATGTTTTTTCTTGTGGACCATTTTAATAAATAACTAGAATTTTGGAGTATGCATTGTGTGGTTCAGCTGCCTCCACCAGCTGTCTAATGAATAATGTACACACCTTTGATTTCCTTTCTGTCCAAACAGTGGCTATGTTGGTGCAGGAAATTCTGAAGACATTGTCAGTGCCAGTGTAGCCTTCATACCACTTAGCCATGTGCAAGCTTCAAAGCCTCACTTCACAAGCACTGCAGAGTATCTTTCCTTATTAGCATGGTTTTGATACTGCCTCTTGAATTTTTGTTACTTGGGAAGGGGGAAAATAGTTATCTGCTTTTGGGTGAAAAGACCAAAAAAAATATTGGAGGGAATGTTCCTTATTCTTTTGAATAACTTGAATGAGTTCTGTCAACACAGGAATCACAGTGACCTTTCAGATTCAAGGTTGAACTTGAAGAGTCCTTTCTAACAGCTGAATCAGTAGTAAATGGCCTACAGTGGTAACTATCTACCATGTAGGTCTGTGTAAATTTAAGTGACCATTCAGCCCAGATATACAAAGGAAGCTGATACAAAATGAGCAGACTACTGAGGTGATGGTATAACAGATTTTATCCATCTGCTTGTGTTATGGTAAGTTTAAATGTAACCTGTTTTGACCAAATATGAGTTTGTGTCCTCATTCTTTATTATGTTACATTAATGATATAGTTTCAGGGAAATTAGGCTCCTAACACTGTGCATCACACTTTTAAACCAGAAATGTTGATTAGGGTTTCTTTTTTTCTGTCCAGGAATCGCTCTGTGATGCAAGTGACCCTGCCATCATCTAGTACAGAATGGTCATAATAGATTGACCATAACTGACTGTCAGTCCAAAAGCTACCCTTAAAGTGCCCACCCTGGGAGGTAAAAGTTGCCTTTGCTAAACACCAGTGCAATATACTCTCATGATATAATGAACTCTTCATGATCAGCAGCTTCTGACCTAGTCTGGGAAGGAAATCAGAGCATCCCCTGCTTCCTGCTGTTAACCTTGCTAAACTATTGCACAACCAAGTTTTAAGAACTTGGCAAGCACCTTTCCATTTTTCTGAATTGAGAAAGCTTGCATGTGAAGCTAGACTGAGCACATCTGCTAAATCATACCCCCAAACACCTGCCTTGTGGGTCCTAATACCAGTGAGACTACTTAACACAGACATTCCTGTAAATGCCCACCATCAGGAAATAGATTCGTGTTACATGCAAGGCTCAGGTGGGGAGGACATGGAAGAGAAGGGTCTGAGCTTAGCGTGCAACAGGAATTTCTGCTGATGCCATTCTGAAGAGTCCTTAATTAAAAAAAAAAATGTTTATTTTCTAATTATGCCATACTTTCATACTTTAAATGCTTCTTGTTCTTTATTATTAATGATCAAGTCTGGTGGGTAGAAATTCACATGCTGTTTTTTGATGAGTAGTACAATGAGTACCACCATATTAAAAATGTGTGATTTCTAACTTTAGTCGCTAGATGGCCTTTGAGTTTGCAATAGCTCCCTGAATACTATTTTTTAGGTAGATCACAAAGTTTGATATTCAAAGGTTTTTGCTTTAAGCTTTTCGTAAAGTTGTCTTTAGTAGCTTGAGCTGGTAGTTAAGCATTTATTTGCAAACTTTTGAGAAAGTAAAATGGTAAAAGTAATGACTTAATTGTAGTAACTAAAAATTACAAAAGTAAAGATACTGGTCTTTTCACATAATTAAATTTTCTCTTTGCGCAGGCGTTTCCTTTCTGTCCTTTCAGTGGTCTTGCACAGTCCGCATTTGTGAGGCAACTACAGAAGGGAGACTTCACTGGGCAAAGCAGAGGGAGAGGAGCTGTAAAAATATTGCCCACTCTGTTCTGAAGGAAAAGTATAATCCTGGTCCTTACATAAGGCAGTATGTGCTAAACATTCCTAGTCGGTGGGAGCTGCCTTGGAAGTGGCTGGGATTTCTAAGCTCCATCTTAGATCTTTTCATTTCTGTTTCTTACATCAGTTTCAGGGAGAGTAGCCTTTGTAATGCATCACATGCTGTCACACACGTGTGGGGAACAGTGCATCATTCTTCACACATCCTTGTTCATTACAGCAATAGGTTCACAGGCAAAGTAAGGTGCTGAGCGTTGTAAAATGCTCAAATTTACCCTATATTACTGCACCAAACCTGTTATTACTGAGTTTTTATGTACATAATGCACCATTCTAATTGTTTTATCTCACCTCCTGCACAAGTCGTCTCATTTCTCACAGCCTTCACCTAACTTTTAACTTCTGCTTGAATTAGAACATAAAATAGTATAAAATGATTACTAAGAAATATGCTTTAAAAATACAGCACACATAGCATACAGTATAGTGTTGAACAGAGGTTTCTGAATTGTAGGGAAGTTAGCAGAATTATTAACTCTTAGTTCTGCCATGTCATACTGTTATTGCTGTAGAGCTTTGAACAATAGAAGCTGATGTGTGCGCTGTCTTGCAGACAGACAGACATCTTGTCTGGTGCTATTTGCAATGTATGATATTATGGTAGATTTGTAAGTTTGAACAGGTTCTGTGTTACTTTCTCTAGTACTCCCCACGTCATTTTCCTTTTTAGTTTTTTTTTAGTGGACGAGGCTATGGATTTCATTGACTTCTGGCAACCAGGAGACCAAGATTTCTGGGACCTAAAAGACTCTGACATCTCCAAGTTGTGAAAAACTCAATCCCATCTGAAAAGATCTGTTAAATTTTCCATATTTATTCTTTGTCTGTGAGTGTCAGACATCAGGATTGCTATAATTTTAAGCAGAAGAAAGGAAGGATTCAGAAAGAATGCATACAGTTGATCCCTAGAATTTTTGTTTTGTTCTGTATGCTCGCCAATAGTTCTGGAAAGATGCGTACAGGTGTTGACTCTACTAGACTTCTACCAAAATCCTTGAGAAATGAGATACATGCTTTGGATTTAGAAGCATAAATATTCTTGTAAACCTGTAATCTCTTTCTAAATAGTCACTTTCACTCTTTCATGGGCTAGCAGTTGCACTTCCTGCCTCTAGCACTTGAGCAACAGCACAGTCACTGGGGCATAACTCTGGAGTGAGACACTATTCTTCCCCAGACCATGCAAGAAAGTGGTTGCCATTCAAATTATTAGCAAAGCTGAAACTAGCTAAGAGTCATCTGTCATGTAGTTTTGCAGAGACAAACAGGAAGAGTGGTGAACCTGGGCATGGTTTGTATGTTACCTTTGTGCCCACCCTCTCTTCCTTTTGGCAGAACAGGAAACCATCTTCTGTTTTTCTTCTTTTTTTCTTAAGGAATTAGAAAAAAGATAAAAGGCAGGACTTATGCTGCAGTTGAGCATAAAAGCCCCTAGTACACGATCAGTGTTGTGAAAAGCTGTTGTGACATACCTGACGCTGTAGGTAATGCTCCGAAGTCCTTGCCATGCAATTTGGAAGTTTTACAGATGGAAATCCAAGTGCAGTGTAATTAAGTGATTTGGCAAATACCATTGGGAATCTACAGTACAGCTAGGAATCAAAATTCATGCATCCTGGGCCCTAGCCTATGCCTTCTTTTTACCAAACTCTGAGCTTTAAGCTATTGAGATGGTGCTTTGCTGAAACTTGGTTTTAAAAAATAATTATTAGCACAAGTGATGGCCATAGTTCTTGAAAGTTAGGATGAGTCACAAGTGAAGAGTTAGGAATCTAAGCAGTATTTTATTCAGTTTTTCCTCTGTGATTCAGACATGGAATAGCTGTGGGAACCTCCACCACCATGTCATAAGTGTTGTGATTCATCTAGAAGTCCTAAATTTATGAATCTGAACTAATTAATCAAAACTATGTGATCTGGTGGCAGTCTAGCATGATCAGTGGGAATTTCCTTAATGGAGCTGTGAAGCTGTTTTTTTCAGGACAGACTGGATGGTAGTTCAGTTCCTCTCATTCTCTTCCAGGCTTTCATTAAAGCCTGTTTTAGGGAATGGGATCAATTGCATCATCTCTTGAAGTCTGTTCAAGCCCTGGAATGTAGCATTCTTAATATCCTTGGTTTGTATATGCATTCCTGACTTTGATTTAAGATCACAGAATCACAGAATCAATCAATCACAGTTAGGGTTGGAAAGGACCTCAAGATTATCTAGTTCCAACCCCCCTGCCATGGGCAGGGACACCTCACACTACACCACGTCACCCAAGGCTCTGTCCAACCTGGCCTTGAACTTTGCCAGGGATGGAGCATTCACATCTTCCTTGGGCAACCCATTCCAGTGCCTTACCACCCTCACAGTAAAGAACTTCCTCCTTATATCCAATCTAAACTTCCCCTAATTTTGAACCTGTTACCCCTTGTCCTATCACTACAGTTCCTAATGACGAATCCCTCTCCAGCATCCTTATAGGCCCCCTTTAGATACTTTAAGGCTGCTATGAGGTCTCCACGCAGCCTTCTCTTCTTCAGGCTGAACAGCCCCATGAACTTTTTCCTCTCTTTCATCCTTGGTTATGTTGCAATGTATGGCTAAAACCTGGAATCTTCTATCATTTCTTTGCCAAGGGCAAAGATCCCTTTCTGGCTCTTTTTTAAAGATTGAGTAAAAATCTTAGGAAGCTTTTGTGACAGAGAACTCTGAAAACATGTTTCTAATGTGGTACTTTTTCACCAGCAGATCTCCAAAAGTCTTTCCTAGAACTTATGATCTTGCCTTACAGCTCAGTACACCATTGAGTGGACTGCAGGGTCAGAGCACAGGAGTTGCAGGCTCGGTTCTCATTTTTTATGGCACTAAGTAGTGAGGCTCCAAATTGAATCATTTGATGCTTTTTCTTTTTGTATTTTCATTGTATGTTGCTTGTGTGCTTTTGTTAGGTATCCTGGACAGCAATTGTCCAGTGGCTCAAGTGGCTTTTGCTGTTTTTAAATTACTGATTTTTGTGTTTGTTTCATATTTTCTTTTTCATTTTCCCCCTCCACTTTCTCTAATTGTCTGCCTATGTGAAACTCTCTTCTTGTATTTCAGTTCTTTTCTTTCAAACCCATGAAGTACAGATAACATTGGAATTGGTGAGTTAAAGGTATATGCTTAACAAGATCTCCTGAACAGGGGTAGAATTGGATATCTCTTCATATGTTTTGTGGAACTGAGACCTCTGCAATTTGTTTTAGAAGACTTTGAACTCCGAATTAATTATATCTGTTTTCCTTGATTAAATTTTCTTTGGTTCTTAC